GGCATATGATGGCAATCAACCTCATCCCCATAACATAGATAGGGCCAAGGACACCATAAACTACATGTCAACTACAAACTTTTTTAAATGAAAAAGCAGACACTACAAACTCTTCTAATAAAAAAGTGCACACTACAAACTTTTGTAGTCTCAAAAAGCGGACACTACAAACTTTTCTAATGAAAAAGCCCAACACTACAAACTTTTGTTGTCTCAAAAAGCAGACACTATAAACTTTTGTAGTCTTAAAAAGCGGACACTACAAACTTTTCCAATGAAAAAGCGCAACACTACAACTTTTGTAGTCTCAAAAAGCGGTCACTACAAACTTTTTTAATGAAAAAGGGCACACTACAAACTTTGTAGTCAAGATAACCTTTTGACTCTAACCCTAACTATGTAGTCTAAGTCCACGCTTTTGTAGTCTAAGTTCGACTTTTGTAGTCTTTTGTAGTGTATTAGTAAACTTTGTAGTCTAATTTCGACTTTTGTAGTCTTTTATAGTGTATCAGTAAACTGTGTAGTCTAAGTCCGACTTTTTTGTAGTCTATCAGTAAACTTGGTAGTCTATATCTGATTCTTATAAGTAGTACAGGATGCACCTTCCTTTTTTGGTCATTTTTCCCACGATACAATAATTGTAGCCCTTTCTTTTAGCTTTCTGAATATACTGAAATCATGTTATTTGGTTTTGTTTTCATAGAGAAAAACACAAAAAAAAAAAAAAACGCAACGCTTTTGAAATTCCTTTACCTCATATCTCCACAACAGGAGCACTTCAGAACATAATTCAAACAGATTCGGGAAGCTACAGTGTAGGGCTACAACTTTCGTTTTTGACCATTTTTGGTAATTGGTCATGTGACCACCCTCCAGGGAAGCCCATTGCATGGACCCTGACATGTGGGATACATTTGAAAAATCACAATGAAATGCCCAGGGCTACATTTGAAATTTTGCAATGAAATACCCAGGGTATCTATTGAAAAATCACAATGAAATACCCAGGGATACATTTGAAAAATCGCAATGAAATGCCAAGGGATACATTTGAAAAATCGCAATGAAATGCCCAGGGTATCTATTGAAAAATCGCAATGAAATACCAAGGGATACATTTGAAAAATCGCAATGAAATGCCCAGGGCTACATTTGAAATTTAGCAATGAAATACCCAGGGTATCTATTGAAAAATCGCAATGAAATACCCAGGGATACATTTGAAAAATCGCAATGAAATACCCAGGAATACATTTGAAAAATCGCAATGAAATGCCCAGGGCTACATTTGAAATGTTGCAATGAAATACCAAGGGATACATTTGAAAAGTCGCAATGAAATACCAAGGGATACATTTGAAA